CTTTTTCCCAAAAACGGTCTTCAAGTTGGACAAAGGTGACTTCTTTGGTGTACTTGAACTCTCCACGTCCTTTCCTTTGTTCCTTTTCAATGCGGATTCGGGATCTTCAAACGGGGGTACCAGTGGTGTGTTTGATCCTCTGGTCATGAAAGTCCTGAAATAAACAGAATAAAAGCGTAAAAAGAACAAAAAAAATGTACTAAAAAAATTTAAAATTTACTGCTAAATAAACTGCTACTCGCCGAGTAGGTGCGATTGCACTCGGCGAGTATCAGTGGTATTTTGAAAAAAATCGAAATTTAATACTATACTAAAACAGATGCTAAAACCTAATCACTAATTACTAAATTGCAATAAATGAACTCTATGCAAGTAAACTCACACAAAGGATCGAAAAAATTAGGAATTAGATTAATTATTTAGAATCATTCCCCGGCAACGGCGCCAAAAACTTGATGTGTGTAAAATGCACTTGTTTTATCCCTACTTTTAATTAATAAATTGAACACACAAAGGCAGTGAACCTGTCTTTTAGTGGTATAGATTAGTAAGTAAGGTGTCGAACTCAGGGAATGGAAAATCAAACTAATAACTAATTTTAACTAAAACAACTAATAAAAGTAAAGGGTTTTCTCTAGTTTTGCAAGACTAGAAACTTAGGCACACTAAATTAACTAATTAACTAAAGCAACAACTATTCACCAAATTTGATAAAGATGTTTCTATTTAGGTTCAACCAATTCACTCCTATGGTTATTTATATTTATGGTAGATTAATTGCTATTGGTTACCAATTATAATAGTTAGGTTCATGTTCATTACTCCTAACCCTTAGACAATTAACTAATTTAAGCGGTGATCAAGTGTTTAAACTAATTAATTCCCTAGATTAATGATTTGGATTAAATAAGATTTGTAATGGTCAATTAAGTTATTAATTCAATTAACCTCTTGTTTGATGGTTTCTCAAACAAGCTCACACATTAATCTTCCTATTGTCTTATTAATCTTAGTTTCATAATCATTACTTCTAAGCATATGGTTTAGTGTTCACATAGACATACGAGGTTAACAATTAAGAGATGTTCATGCAACCTAATTGTCTTCCAATTAACAGAAAATAGTAGTGATTAATACATAAGGTTCTTTAACAAACTTAATTTAATATATCACCAATAGACAATCAAGCAAAAACTAATAATTAAACCATAGGAGTTCCTTGGTATTCCCCAAACAGAAACAAAAACGAATTTAGTTCATAATTGCAGTAGAAACAAACATAAAAACAAGGTTTATTAAAGCAAACATATTCAATTCCTAAATCTAAGTGGTAGAATTAACCTAATTGCTTGAATTCTTCAAAAGATTGAAGCTTAGGGTTCCTTAGCGTCTTCTAGGGCTCTTAGTCGCAGCTTAACCTTCAAAAATCGCCAGGAATGTTGTCCCATTAGATAAGGATTCGTCTTTTATAGATATCCCAAAACAGCGTGTACTCGGCGAGTAGCAGAACCAACTCGCCGAGTAGGTGCATAGTTATCCGTCTTGGATCAGGAATCATAGCTATCTTTTGGAACATCCTCGTGTACTCGCCGAGTAGAGTCGTCTACTCGCCGAGTAGATGGTCTTTTTTCACTCTTTGATCTTCAATTGCTTCCCCTTTCTCCCTTTTACTTCCAAGCATATCTTCTGGACTCTTTGATCTTCAATTGCTTCCCCTTGCTCCCTTTTACTTCCCTTTTCTAAGCGCTTGGCAAAGCCTAGACTAAATTGATGTGTTCAACTGAAGTCTATTGTCATTCGTCTTAAATAGGAAATTGGGAAACAACTATTGGACAAAGATTGATTATAATCCATGTCTCATGTCCATATGATATCTTGTAGAATGGAGGAATATTTGATCCCTTATCTAAGGACACGTCATTGACTAGGTTAGAGTTCGACAATGGCTTTTGGTAGCTAAAATTTGCTAGTCAATTTTTGAAGTTATACTTGCAACTATAGTTATTAAACTTATCCAAGTGGAAGACTGTTGGATTAGGTATCTAAACCCATAACTATAATTAGTATGTACTTGAATTGATAGTAGCAATGTCCTTTTGGGTTGCCTTCAAACCTGGCAATTGAATAGGATAATTGTTGGAGAGAGAATAATGATTTATTAATTTATTACTTGGTTAGTAAATTAATTTGAAATCAAAATAAATGATTGATTAATGTATTATGGATATAATATATTAATTAGAAATCATATTGTTTAATTAATATTTAATCAAAAATTAATTTGGAATTAATTTTAGGATTAAAGGAATTAATTGAAATCGTGGGGACTAAAGGTGACAATGTTCATAAGTTGAGCATAGAGCATTCTAAAACCTCCCTTAGAGGTGGGGAACGAAATCTAGAGTGTCCTAGGGTTTCCTTGGGCTCTAAGGGTGCCTTAGAAGCCTTAGGGAGGAAGTTAAGGGATTAGGGTTATCTAAGATACACCTGCCTTATCCTAAACCTTCCTTATCACCTATATAAAGCCCTATAGGGTTGGATTTTGTCCCATGCACTCCAAGAAAGGCTTAGAGCCGAATTTTCACTTTCATTTTTTCTCTCTCTCTCTCTCTCTCTCTCTCTCTCTCTCTCCATAGTAATCCTTGGTTGCTAGGTTTGATTGTGAGTCATTAGAGGCGCGGCGCTTGCTACCAAAGTTCAAGATGTAGCATCTGGTTCCTGGTACGTGAGTTATGAATGAGTATCTTATATTTTTGGTCGTGGACTCGGCGAGTTGGAGGCCCGACTCGCCGAGTAGAGACGTGACTTGGGGCGCGGTTAAGATGGCGACTCGACGAGTCCATATTATGGACTCAGCGAGTCCGCGCTGTCTGATGAAACCCTAATTTCCAAGGGTTTGCACCCTATTTAAACGACCATTTGCGCTCCAACTCCGCCCCATTCACCCTCAGAAGCTCTCCGTACGTTCTAGCTCTTGTTCTTGTGAGTTTGAGGCATTTTAGTGTGTGTTCTTGAAGATTTTGAGAAGGAAGTGGAGTAGATCAAGAGGAAGGGAAGGAAGCCAAACATCTTAGTGTTCTCTTAGTGATTTCTTTGAGGTAAAACTCGTTTTCCCCTGTCTCTATGCTTGTTACTCCATTAAAGTCTTTCTTGAGCCCTTCCCCAAGCTTGTATGTGCATTATAATTCGTAATAAGCTGATTGGCCTCTAGATCTAGGCATGGTTGAGCTCCAGGAGCTCAGATCTATTGCCTTTATGGACCCATGTTGCATGAAGACCTTAGATCTACTCTTTTGGTGCATTTTGAACCCTAAAACCCTCTTGGATGAATATTTACACGTAAAGTTGGAAACTTTACGTGTTATTCATGCTCTAGGAACCTAGATCTATGAATGGCATGGACTGGATTCGAGCAAAATCACGTATATAACTCTTGCATGAAGCAGACTCGGCGAGTCTAGTCGCGAGTCTCCGAGTTGTCCCCTTTTTCGTTGTGCCGAGTTGTGTAGTGAGTCCAGGGTGGACTCGGTGAGTTGGAAGCCAAAACTCACCCATAAGGGAACTCGGCGAGTCGATGCCCAGACTCGGCGAGTTCAAGGAAATCTCCTTAGATCAAGATCAGACTCGACGAGTTGTTCATACAACTCGGCGATTCGTAGCATAAGTGTTCATCGGATGAAGATGAACTCACCGAGTTGTTCGTACAACTCGGCGAGTAGGATGAAGGACTTGAACATCAGTTTGGAAGGAGAACTCGTCGAGTCAACGCCTAACTCAACGAGTAGAAATGGAATCCAGGTCAGTCGATTGGACAGGGACTCGGTGAGTTGGCGAGCCAACTTGGGGAGTCGGGTCAACTGAAAGTTGACTCTGACTTTGACTTAGGGCATGATCAGGGGTAAAATGGTCATTTTACCCAAAGGACAGTTAGCAGTGTTTGATTGAGTATGTTGTGGAAATTACAGCCGGAGGATTTCCAGAGCAGTAGCAGCAACAACAGTAGACAGTCAGTTCCCAATCAGATCAGCAGCTACTCCGAGGTGAGTTGCCTTCCAGTAGCGGTGGGTCTAAGGCCACAATGTCGGCCCACCAGTAGGAGATGTATGATAGATGATTGTCTTGGTGATATCATCTAGGTTTGCTACTATCTGATATGTTATATGCTAGCATGATATGTTGTATGTGATAGTAGTAGAGTTCGGTTGTTAGGACCGAAGGGTAGTCAGACACACCAGATATGTCTGATATTATGTTTGTGTTATGTTATATGTGATAGTAGTAGTAGGGGGTGAAATAGTCCCCGAGGTTCGATTGTTAGGACCGAAGGGTAGTCAGCACCCCAGAATAGCTCGAGATGGGTAGGTCGGCGCCCCAGAATGGCTTGACACGGGTAGGACGGCACCCCAGAATGGCCGCACGGGTAGTCGGCACCCCAGAATGGCCGTACCGGGTAGTCAGGCACCCCAGAATAGCCTGGCAGTATGTATGTTATGTATTTGTATGGTATGTGGTACGATGGGGGAACTCACTAAGCTTTGTGCTTACAGTTTACAGTTTTGGTTTCAGGTACCTCTTCATCAAAGGGGAAGGAGCTGGCGCGGTAGCGGCACATCATGCACACATACTAGTTTTCGCATCTATTATATTTCTCTGGGATTTATACTCTGATATTTCGAGTGGTTGTATGATTTGGCTTTTAGACATGGTTTACGTTGTGATGTGGTTTGATCAAACAATGTTTTTAATTATTAACGTTTTCTAAAGTAATGTTTTAAAAACGAAATTTTTGGACGTGAAAATTGGGTCGTTACACAAGATCTTCAAGGATTTGATTGTTATTACAATATAACAATAAAGGTATGTATCCTAACCCTAATTATATGTTAATTTCGAAAATTACATGTGTATCCTAGGGTTTCTAGCCTTTTCAATGCTTGTATGTCTAATAGTGAAAACATAGATCCTTAAATTAGGGTTGCATGCGCACATATGATTGTTTGCTATGTATAAAACCCATCATTCACAACTCTCCAAAACGACTCATTGGCAAAAGCTTTTCCGACCTTCGCCTTGTAAATCTTTTGAACTTTAGCCATGACATTCACCTTAGTTGCACCGCTTTGGGGGGTTCTGACTGCGTTCATGTTGATGTCGTTGAATTCCATAGCGGATCGGTTGGTGGCCCTCCACTTCGAGTAAAGTGAATCGGGGTTGTGGTACTTATTTTTCATGCGGTGACAAAAGTTATGCCAAACTTTTTCTTTGAAAGTTATTGAGTGTTGTTCGTGCCGTGGATCGGGTCCTCCGGCACATCTAGCTATGATGGAGCTAGTACCCTCTCTTCATCATCCGTCCACCCTGTACACCGAGCCCTCCCTTTTCCATTTTTTTGTGCTTGTGGTTCGACTTCGAGCTCTTGGTACAATTCTTGAATGAGATCTTCAACATAGCCTTTATCAAAAGAATCGGTTGACTCGTCGAGTAGGCGACGTGGTTGGGATTGAAAGTACGGTTGAAGTTGAGAAAAGAATTGAGTCTCTTGAACTGTTTCAAACGGATCAAGATCCACATTCATACGAGGTGTTGGTTAAGATTGGTTATGATAAAATCCTATTTGTTGAGAAGAGAATGGATTAAGTGGAAACATTTGCGGAGCCATCGTAGGAAAGTAGTAGTTAACGGGAGAATGAATTAATTGATCAAATGATTGTCGATAACATGGTAGTGATGGAAGGTTTGAGGATGAAAGGTTTGACTATTGAGTGTTTCGAGGTGAAATGTTTAGTGATGGAAGGTTTGAAGCTTTTTTTTTGTTGGTTCTTGGGATTTTCTTTGTTTGTGATGAAGATATTTTTCTTTGATAAATTTAGAGAGTCTCTAAGAGAGATATGATATTTTATATGTATAAATTGTTGAGAGTGTAATTTAATTTATAGTAGTTGAATATATTTTTATATTAAAAAACATTTTTTTAATGAAAATTGCTAAATAAATTGTTGAAATTAAATTCAACAATAAATTGAGTCAAGAAGGAAGCAATCCGGTTAGACACAATTCGTCCAAGGTCTTTCCCTCTTTTATCGTCAAACTGTTGGCGCCTTCCAAATAACAAACCCTAACAAGAGCTAGGAGGCAGTGTTCTAGCATTATTGGCAAACGAGTCCCATAACAAACCACAACTCCGCTTAACGTAACATTTCCGTTTGACTTTTTGAAAAGTCGAGCTATAAGACCAAAAAATCAACCATGTGGTAGGGATAACTAATTTACAAATAAGCTTACCTACCACCTTCCACCACCAAAAGTTCCAAATCATTTACCAAACCCAAATCAACGCATTAATTTCTTTATCGTCTTCGGATTCCAAATTATTAAATAAAATTTTAATATATATTCACCAAAAACCAAGAAATAAAATAACAAACGCATTAATTTCTTCTATTCTTACTTCTTAGTCCAACATTCATTAATTCGAACCTCCCAAATCTTGTGATTTCACCAACACCCTGCTTTCTGGTTCACCAAGTAAGTTCAAGATTCAATCTTTTGCTCATGACTACTTATACACCATTAATTTTCTGATTCAAATTTCTATAATCTTTATCAAGATTTACAACTGGGTTTATGAATTTTTCGCTCAAATCCGCATTTCATTTTTCCAAACTTCTTGATTTTTGATTTGATCTGATGCTATGTTCTAACTAAACTAACATGATCTTAACTTCTTTGATAACATGCTAATGAAATTGACAGATCTACAGGTTGTTCGTAGCTTGGATTAGGTTTTTGTAGTCGATAAAATGGCAAGTAATCCAGATGAAGAGGTAATCAGGAATCCGATCTGTATGCATTTATGAGAATTAGGGTTCTAAATTTAGGGGTTTTCAATTTCACTTGTATGTGTGATTAAATGAAGTTTAACTCCCTGTTTTTTTTAGGTCGTTCTTACTGAAAACAAAGGGAATGTGAGATTGATCACCTTGAATCAACCAAAAAAATTAAATGTCATTTCACCAAAAGTGGTAAACTCGACTCCCTTTTTAAATAATTAAAAATTAATTCTTTTCTTTTTTAATGATTCAAAATTAATTCCTTGGTTTATTTTTGTGATTACTAGGTTTATTTATTGGCAGAAAACTTGGAGAAATGGGAAAAAGATGACGATGTAAAGCTAGTGATAATTAAGGTATTTTGTTGCGTTTAACTTCAATCCTCATATTCTAATTCATTTATTTTTTATTATCGTTATGGCATTTCTTTTCTTATAAAATTGATTTTTTTATTTAAAAATTAATTTTTATTTCATGTTCATTTAGGGTGCAGGTCGTGCATTCTCAGCAGGTGGTGATTTAAAAGTGTTCTATACTGGCAAAACAACAAGTAATTTCAATTTTCATTATTCTCAATTAACATTTTATTTAAATCTTTTTTTTTTTAATGTTACAACTTACAAGTTTTTATTTATTTAATTTCACAGAGGATTATTGCCTTGAAGTGGTATATAGATTTTATTGGCTTTGCTACCACATCCATACCTACAAGAAACCACAGGTTATTTTTCAATTAAGCCCTTATACTTTTAAAAACTACCAAATTATATCCAATGAAGTTATACTTTAAAAGATTTATTCTTGAATTTTTTTATTTTTTTCTTTTGTCAGGTCGCTCTTGTTCATGGAATTTCTATGGGTGGAGGAGCATCACTTATGGTTCCAATGAAGTTTTCAGTTGTCACTGAAAAAACCGTATGTTTTATCATTTCATTTAACAATTTTTACAATATTAATTCTTGATTCTTTGAATCGAATTGTATTTTGATCTTAAATTTAAACAGGTTTTTGCGATGCCTGAAGCTAGTATTGGGTTTCATACTGATTGTGGCTTTTCCTATATTCTCTCACATCTTCCTGGACATTTGGGTATGTATTATGAAGTTTTAAACAAAAGTTTTATAAAAAAAAAAATGTTACAAAAAAAAAGATGTCACGTTTTTTGTTGTCTTGTTTTAGGTGAATATATGGCGTTAACAGGGACACGATTAAGTGGCAAGGAACTTGTGACAGCTGGATTAGCGACACATTTTGTTCCTTTAGATGTAAGTATTTGAAAGAGTAAATTACATGAATGGTCCCTATGGTTTGGGTTAATTTGCATATTTGGTCCCTAGCTTATTTTTTTAACTCGCAAGGTTCCTATAGTTTGTTTTTGTTGCGCGTTTGGTGTCTGCCTTACCTAAAAAGACTATTTTACTTTTGATTTTTTAATTTATTTAAAATAGAGTAAATTACTGAAATCGTCCCTGTGGTTTAGTTAAAATTGCATGTTTGGTCCCTAACTTCTTTTTTGTACTCGGATTGTCATTGTGGTTTAATTTTATTGCGTTTTCCATCCATGTGGTTTGATTTTGTTGCATTTTCCGTCCCTTACATACATAAAGTTAGGGATCAAACATGCAACTTTTACCAAACTATAGGGACGAAAAACGCAACAAAAGCAAACCACAGGGACGATCCGAGTGCAAAAAAAAAGTTAGGGACCAAATGTGCAATTTTGACCAAACCACAGGGACGATTTCAGTAATTTACTCATTTACATAAACACAACTTCAACTTCATTTCCACCTCACCTCATTTTATTTTATCTACCCTATTTTATTTAAATAAATTAAAAAATCAAGGACAAAATAGTCTTTTTAAGTAAGACAAGGACCAAACGCGTAACAAAAACAAACTATAGAGACCTTCTGAATTAGAAAAATAAGTTAGGGACCAAACATATAAATTACCTCAAACCATAGGGACCATTCGGGTAATTTACTCTATTTGAAAATGAAACAAATTGTTTTAAAAATTCTTGGGTTTTATATATTGTAAAGATGAATTGTGTATTATTGGTAAAAAGATGTAAGGGAATTTTTTATTTTATGCTAATTACAAAAACTTACAATGTCTGTTTTGTTGTTTAGAAATTGTCGATGTTAGAAAGCAATTTGGTGAACTTGAATTCGGGTGATGAGAATGCTGTGAAAACTGCCATTGAAGAGTTCTCTATAAGTGTCGATATTAGTGAAGAAAGTGTTTTAAACAAGTAATAATTGATTAATTGTAATCAACTTTTAAAATTTCCATTTTTGGAAGTTTTAAGAATAAAAACTAATATTCGTTAGTTGAATGCAGACAATCGATAATCAATGAGTGTTTTTCAAAGGACTCGGTGGAAGAGATTCTAGAATCATTTGTAAGTTTGTTTCATCTTTTTGTAGATAAAAAAATAAATTACTAATAAAACATTAAATATTTACTTTCTAAAAATTGATAGGAAGCAGAGGCTACAAAGGAAGGAAACGAATGGATTACACCTGTGCTTAAAGGCTTAAAACAATCGTCTCCTATTGGTTTAAAGATAAATCTGCGATCGGTATTTTTTTATTATTTTTTATTATTTTAAAAATAGAAATATACTTTTAAGAAAGATTGTTATAATGTTTTATTTATTTATACATGATAGATTCGTGAAGGGAGGAAGCAAACACTATTGGAATGCTTGAAGAAAGAATTTAGACTCACAATCAATATACTCAGAGCCACTATTTCAGGCGACATTTATGAGGTATTAAAAAATATACTTTTTCTTATTAAATTTTGAATAAATTACATGAATGCTCCCTATGATTTGGGGTAATTTATACGTTTGATCTCTAACTTATTTTTTAATTTGGAAGGTGGTTTGGGCTAATTTTTGTGTGTGAGGTGGGTAAGGTAATGTGAGTGGTAGGGTTGGGGTGTGTTTATTAAAATAAATTAAAAAAATCAAAGTCAAAATTGTATTTTTAAGTAAGATAGGAACCAATCGCGTAACAAAAACAAACATTAAAGACCTTCTGAGTTAAAAAAAAATAAATTAGTGCCCAAACGTGCAAATTACCCTAAACCATAAGGACTATTTGTGTAATTTACTCTTAAATTTTTGAGACAAATTGAAATAATGATTTTTTTTTGGTAAAAATAGGGTATCCGAGCTCTTACGATTGACAAAGACAATTCTCCAAAGGTAAATCTTTTTGGCTTAACCCATTAAGTCATTATGTGTAAAGATAAACTAAAAAAGAAAAGTCTTAATCCAGCTACGTATTTTTTTTTTTTTTTTTTCTTTTAAAAAACGAATTATTAAAGAAAGTAAGGCGTTGGAGGGTTTGTCTATTAATTAAGTTGTAACCTTTTTTACAAATTTTAGTGGGACCCACCAACTCTTAAGGAAGTGGATAGCGAGAAACTGGATCTTCTGTTTAAGGCATTTGGAGAAGGTTTGGAGCTCAATGTTCCTGAAAACGAAGAACAAAGGTTAGTTTCTATATGCATTCTTGTTAATTTGTAACTTAAAAAAAACTTTTCTATATTGTTTTGATATTGAAGAATGAAGATGATGAAATTTTTTAATGTGAATTATTTATTCTACAGGTGGAGTGGCAAGTATGAGGATTCTCTTTATGCATGATGATAAGATAAGTCCCTTTTTGGGGTTGTTAGATTCGTATATTTAGAAATAAAGAACGCAAATAAAATGATTTATGGGAAT